TTAATAAAATACTATCATCAAGCAGTGAGTGGTATTTCTCTCCTCTAGAAAGTGAGCCTGCTAGGTACACAACAGACAGACACAGCTACACTCCGTCCCCTTGCATGTGAGCTTGGGGAACTCACTACCCAGACTTGGTGCAGACATAAGAAAAACTGACATGCCATGACATATGGAAACTGCTGAGGAAACAAGTGCAGGTTGGTTTCCACCATATAAGCAACACCTAAAGACAAGGCGAATGAGAAATATATAGAAAACCTGAACTATACCAAGAGAATTAATTCTCCTTTTGATGTCAAAAGGATGCAGAGAAAGTAGTAATTATGCAGCATCTTTAGGAAAGACAAGTCCATTCTCATAGAAAATATTCTATCATATTAAAATGCAAAACAATTGCAGCTGAGGTATGCATGTATTTTTACTAAACAAGCTGGAAAGCGCCGAAAGTGCAGCTTGTGCTATGCAAACAGGGCAGGAGTTTTCCTTCTCCTTTTGTTTCTACCACAGAGTGACTGATTTATGAGCATCCTCCACAATAGAGCCCTGTGACAACTATCCCAAGATAAATCCTGCTTATGCAAACATTTTCAAAACCAGCAGAACATCTGAGTCATGTAAGAAAGTATAATAGGCTGCTGCAGGTCACCCTGCAGTCGACACTCACTGCACTCAAGCTGCAGGTCCAAGAAAAATAAATAAATAAATAAAAGGATTTATCCCAGGACTGATTAGTTGCTTTGCAAGTCAGATAGAAATTAGGCTGCAACGCTGTTCAGAGGTGAAATTCTGATAGGGAGCTATCCCAGAGGTGGTGCTATGGTTAATGCAAGCCTTTTTTCCCCACCAAAACTAAGAATTGGCTTTGAGGGGAGCATCTTTGGAAGTCCAAGATGACCCAGAGAGGAGCATATTCTGATTTTCATTAGAATAAATCTGTAGGAGTTAGTTTTAACACCCAAACAGAAGAAGCATCCACACATTCAGGTAGCAGTTTAAATAAAGCAGCTCAAGTTCTAATTCCAGTTTGAATCACGCAACTCTCTCAGAACCAAGATGCAATTCCAGGATGCATGCAGGTCAAAAAAAACCTCTATCCTACTGTGAAGCAAGTTTTCTGTACAGTCAAACAGTGACCAGCTTAATCAAAATGCAGATTCCAAGTATGTTTTTAAAGCAAATCTATCAGATATTACAGTAGTAAAAACTAAAACAACAAACAAAAACCAAAGAAGAAACAATGATGACAAAGAGGCTGTGATACACAGCAGACAGGTAAGTCTGAAAAGCCCTGTGAATAACATATTTAATTCTCTCTCTCTGATCTCTCATAGCATTGAAGAGGCAAGACAGCAAAGGAAACAGTGCACAGCAGAAAACATGTTGAAGGGTACATGAATTTCTGTAGAATATCTACCATGACTTGAACAGATGAGAGGCCAGTAAGTCAATGCATTAGTTTTCAGTAAAATATATTAATTCAAGACCATCTGCCATTTTATGTACAATTTTTACTTCTTAAAATATGGATTTGATTTCTATATGAAAGAGCAAAGAATGTTACACTTGCCCTTAGAGGACCAAAAAGGGTATCAAGAAAAAAATGCTTTTATTAAAAAAAAAGAAAAAATCACAAAAACCTTGAAATCCAGCAGACAGGGAGGGCACAGCCCCAGAGGGGCCACAAAAACAAAGTACTGTGATGCTGAAACTTAATGAATTTACAATTCCTTTTATTTCATCAAGTCTCTGATATTAATCTGAATAGCAACACAAAACCAAGCTATAAATGCCTGCCTTCTCCTGAGCAAACTGCTAGTCATGCTGCAAGGAATTATTTAATTTTAGCAAGAAGCAAGGGTTTTAGGAGAGCCGACAACAAATTAAGTTCAATAGTTTACAAATGGCTACCATAACATCGCACTACAGTCCAGTTAGGAAAGGATGTTCCTCCCCAGTGCTCAATGGGACGACAGAAGGGACCTGCCCCTGCCACCCTCTCCCCCAGACCCTTGCAGGAAGCCATGAAGCTCATTTCCCCCAGCAGAACTCTCCAGAGGGAAAGGTCATTTCTCATGAAGGTAACACATTTTCTAATTATTATTTTTTCTGCCTCCCAAGGGAGATGAGGAGGGGGGAGCTTCCTTGCTCAGAGAGAATGAAATTTTCCTGCGTCAGTGCCAAGAACAGACACCCTAACTTCAGTGTTCCTAATCTCCAGCCATCCATCAGCAGCAGGGTGGTACCTTCTGATTCAGACTTTCTATTAGCTAGTGACTTTGTGTACTAAAAAAAGTCATTGTACCACCCAATTGTTCCTGCTGCTCTGCAAAAGCAAGGATTTAGTAGCTACCTCAGTAAGTGCGGTAAGTGCTTCCCCAGCGGATGTTTTATGACCAACACCATCCTCTTCCCACCAGCTCCCAAGTGCCCACATGCCCCTCCAACTCACTGCGAGCTTTTGCTACAGCAACATTCACTGCAAGGTCCTTTCCGCATGTCAGGGAAAATCCTAACTTTGTGTGACTTAGAGTGCACAAGGAGCAGGATATGAGGGCTAACCTACTTCTGCAGGTAAAGGGATGCTTTGGGGTCAGCCACTCACTTATAGAGCCAGTTGTAGCCCCATTGACAGGGATTGAGGCCTTTATTGAGTGCCTGCTGCATGAAAGCTAAAAAAAAAAAAAAAAAAAAAAAAAAAAAAAAAAAAAAAAAAAAAAAAATAACAAAAAAAAAAAAAAAAAAAAAAAAAAAAAAAAGAGAGAGAGAGAGAGATAAAATAACTTCCATAGCATAGGAATGTATCAAAACATTGTACAAATATATATCAGCCAAACAAGTTGCAGCTCTCAAATAACACATATTCATTGGTTATTTTCCAGAAATAATATTTGAACAGTTTAGCATTAATCAATAATTTACAGAATAAAATCAATAGTAGAATAAGTGAAAGTAAGCTCAAGGCCAGCTACAAAGTCTGTTAACCCAATCAAACAAACCCCATTCATACAGTTAGCATTCTACAAGTTTTCAAGTCCTACAGAGAAGTACCAGGCATTGGGAGAAAAAAAAATAACAAAAAAATTTTAAATTAAAAAAAATCCAAGACCAGTTCGTATCAGTTAAACAAAACAAACAAAACAAAAAGCCAGCACGGGTTTCAATGCTTCACACAGCTTTGTTCGCCCTCATCTTCCAAACAGCCACAGAGAAACAAAGGGAACTGGTTTGCCAGGTCTCTCTAGATCTTGGCAGCATGGCCCATCAACAAGGAACAGTCTTAGTAAAGAACAAAAATGTTTCGAGAGTTCAGACAGCACCATAGAAGAAGAAAACATAAGAAGATGGAGAATATAATTTAACAAGATGAAAAATCAGCAGCATTTATATAGTCATAATAAGCTTAGGCCAGAAGGACAGCACCCTTTCTGTCTCTTGCTCTGCTTCAACATCCCCATCTGAGCAGATCTCTCAAAAGGAAACCACCTCTACCAACACACTTACCAAGACTTTAAGAAGCAGCTACCGATTTTGTGACCCCCATATAATCCAGTTTAATATAGGTAACATTTTTGGAAGACTATAGCTATTCTCCTCTAACTGCTTTACTTGCTAGTGCCAACACTGGCATCCAAAAACACCACAAAATTTTAGTTCCTTTGAAGATGATAGCCTCCAAAGTCAGTAATGGAACATAAAGTAGAAACTGCTTTGAAGAAAGCTAAAGCTAAAAACCTAGTAGCCTCTGAAAGAAGAGGGGAAAACATTAATTGTGTGAGTAATTAATAGAGCGAGAAGCTTAGAAAAGAACCTCGCTAATTCAAAATCATGCCCTGGCAGGGAACATGGTTTATTTTACTACTACATATTAGTGAAACAAACCAACAAAAAGGTATTCAAGAAGCCTGCATTATAAACTGCAACCCTGACAAGCTGTTTTGATGAGTGTTTAGTTTTCTGTAGTGCAGGACAACTATTATGAAGTATCCAATGCAATCCCATGAATTTCAAATAAGAAGGAAGGACGCTAAAGGTCTTGTTCACACAAGCAAGTTTTGGTTTCAGAATATAAAGATTAGTAAACTCTTTACACTAAAATTAACAAAAAGGATTTACATATCATACCAATGCATCAAGTACACATTAAAATTTACACTATCTCCATTTAGAGGTAACCAAGTTATTTAAATACTTCACATTTCCATGCATTCCAGTTTTACCATTCATTATGAAATATTCCATCACTGGATATCCGAATTAAGTTTTACTCCAGACACTAACTCTTGTATTTTCCCAACACATGAGGTGTGGAAAGCACTTACACTATCCCAGATTATCACCTGTGCAACATGGAAATAACACACACTAAACAAGTGCCCAAGTTCATCACGTTACAGCTTAATCTCTCCAAGGCATCTTGCAGGAAATTCTTCTTTCTGCCTTTAAATTTTAATTATGGAGGTTTTTATTTAATCAAATGTGAAAACACAGGTACAAATAACAAATACTTAATAAAGTAAATATAAACCAACAGCATTCTTTATGTTATTTAATCTGTTATTACCTTCTGTTTGTTTTACGCAGCCTTTACATTTTCAGTTTCCAATGTACTGTAGAGTAGCTGTGCTAGGCAAGTCAGTAGAAAGCTGGAGCTTATGTTGACCAGGAATGGTACAGAGGAGCCACTTATGAAGGTAATCAAACTAGTCTGAGTTTGCAGGTGGCAAAGAGTGGCTACACCAAAGACACCAAACACAGATACCAAAACAGCTAATGAGAACAACAGTGAATTACTTAGCATGACCGAGCTGAACAGACTAGTCACTCTTAAATAACCATTCCTGACTTTGCAAGCAGACAACATGTAACATATTAGGCATACACACAAGAAAAATGCATATAAGTATTCTGGAATATAACATAGTGCAAATGCTGTAGCACAACGTACACGTTACGGCAGCACCAACATTTCTATGTACAACACTAAAAAGACAGCTTACCCTTTCCACTTGTCCCTCCTTGTGCTTCAGCTTGTACACCTTCAGCTTCGGAAGAAATGTCTCCGCATAGTTCTTGTCTTCCATACCTTGGAGCAGAACCCCATGGAATGCCAGTCTGCAGGTATTTGCATGAATATCTGTATCCAGTTTGGAGCCGATCACTAGGCAGAGTTCAGGGCAAGTGACTGGTTTTTCAAACTCCAGCAGAGCCCACTGTTGCTTTGGCAGCTGGACCTCGGACTGGTCATTCTCTTTATCCTCCTCTGAAGTCTTCGAGTCCTTGGACAAGTACGCCTCTTGGTAAAGATAATCTTTTTCAAAATTAAAAACATCTTCTTGAATTTCTTCATCAAAGTCAGCAGGGGCTGGACTGAAAAACATCACTCTCCCCATGACTGTTTCATGACCAACTGTGATGTGAAACTTCGCCTTTGTCTGAAGAGCTCCTCGAAAATACTGGATTTTCTTCAGGGAAATGATGGCAGCGTGGATAGTGTGAAGTGATTCTGGGGTGCAAATCAGACCTCGCTCTAACAGCTTGGGATCAAACTGGGTCACACAGATACCTACTCTGTCACCCTGCATAGCATAAGTCACCGGGGTATGGAACATCTGCATAGACTTGACTTTCTTTGTTACCTATGGACAAAAGACCAAGAAAGAAAATGAAACAAAATTAATTGCACATGAATTAAAAGCACCAAGGGACACTCAACACCCTGCCCTCTTAAAAGGAAACTAGCCCTTTCTAGAGGAGTTGAAAACTAGCAGACTGAGAAATCACTCCTATCACTTAAAATTAACACAGGTTTGAACCCTTTACCTTGTTGTATCTCTGTTCATGATTACTATGACCACAATTACTTTGATATTTGCATCACCTGTGCTGCAACTCCCACAGGCAACCTGCAAACCAACAGCTATACCCATACCAAAGAACATCCTATTTGATCTACTCTTCTTAAGCACTGGAACCATATGTTAAATAGGACAACATCAATCCACAGAAACTCATGACTATTCCCCTACTCCTTCTATGGATTTTTTTCATTCACTTCTTTTGGGTCAATTTAACTGTAAAAAGTCCAACATCGAAAAATTTACTTTATTATTATATAGCAGTGAACCCAAATTACCATTTGTAAACTACCACTGCAGAAAGAGTAATAGAAGCATCTAAGTGGAAATAACCTACGAAACTCTGTATATTAAAAAAAAGTTCTCAAACTTTTCCTGCAAAGATTTACACATTCTTTAAATATAAGGCTAGTATCACTGCCACTAAAACTATTTCATATCTTATGATGACTGTAGGAAACACAGGGCAGCATCCCTCCTTTAAACATAACATTTAACTCTTCCTAGATGCTTTGAAAGTGGAAAAAGAAGGCGGTTGGCATTAATAGCTATGCTGTTGTATTTCAAAAAGTTCTCAAGCAGAAGAAAAATCAAACAAGCTTTTCAAATCAAATAAGCTGTTCACTCTTTGACTGAACTCTCTACATTAGATGCTAAGCGTTTAATAGGGAAATGATGGTTTTTGCCAAGAATAAAATAATCCTCTCCTAAATACATACTGAAGTTCCTGGAAAAGACTCATTACTACATAAAAGTTACACCAAGCATTTATTACAGAAGGGCTGAAACCTCAAAACGCAGAACCAAAACCAAACTCTCCATGGGAATCTCCATTCCAGAGATCATTTCCTTGCTAAGTCTTTATGACTATACAATGAATTATACCTTCAACATGGATAGGGGGGAAAAAAATCCCACTATCTGTATCATTTTTTTTTCTCCTTTCTGCTCTCTCCCTTTTCTTAGTATCAATTCCACAGCTATCAGGAAGTTAATGCCAAGTGCTACTGTGCTATTCTCCACATTCATGCTTTTAGTACTTTACTCATATTTATCCTTTACAAGCAAGAGAAAACAAGGAAAAAGAAAATCCACCAGATACAAGCTCCTGGAAAATAGCAAAAATTATAAAATGTAAAAACATCCCCAACATAAAAATGGAACTGAAAATTGCATTAAAAAATCTGCACAGTTTTCTACTCTGAACAGAGCCAAAATGCAGGGGCTTTTTTTTTTTTTTTTTTAAATTTGAATATACAAACATTTAGGTTTGTAATATCCTCTTTTTAAGAGCTTCTCACCTAGAGGGTTAAATCAAAATATTAGACGAAAACCTTTGCCAGTCTTTTTTTTTTTTTAATACACATTCATCTTAAGTTTTGAAGAAGTCAGAGTGGTTTTACATCAAAATATTGACTGCCTTCTTCCACATTTCTCAGCATTAAACTACTTCAATAAGAAGATAAAATTCTAAAATGCCACTGTCCGCAACAGACACATGCTATAATTGTGGCTGGAATTTGAATTTATTGTCAATGAACAAGCTTTTGTTATTGATTTGGATATTAGGAAACAAAGAAAACAAAAGCCAAGCAGTCAGCAGGGAAATCCTCCCCTCTGTACCCCCCCAGGCTGGGCTTTGCTCCCACAGCCCTAGGGGAGGAGGTCGGGGCTGGCGCATGGCAGCCTCCTGCTCTTCGGCTGCTCCACCATGGGGCTTCAGGGACGTCCCTGGTCCTACCACAGCCTCTGCCCTGTAGAGGTGTCTCCCGCGCCCCATTTTCATGCCCCAACCTGCACCTTCGCACACAGCTCCTCCTGTACCTTCTAACATGGCTCCTCCTGCTCCTTCTCCCTCAGCTCCTCCTTGTGCCTTCCCTTGTCCTTTCCTTTTCTCCTCCTCACACCCACACCTCTCCTCCACACCAACCACAACCCCCTCTCAAGGTATCTGAGCACTGCGGTACCAGGTGTCTTATGACCAGCTACAGTTTGGGTGGGGGTAGCTGGAACCAGCTGCAACCGGTTAGAACCAGCTGCAACCGGCTGTGACGGGCCCAGGGCAGTTCACAAGCTCCTGTACCTCATGCAACCCAAACCCCACTCTTTGCAGCCAGCACAACCTCCTGCACCTGGGACAGGCTCTCAACTGGCCCCAAAAAAAGCATTTTTGCAGCCTCCTTAGTAATTTTTGCTGCTAGTGCCATGTTAAGTCTCTAACACAAGTCCAGGAGAAGTCTAGGATACTGTGTAATTCCCTCCTGGAAAACGGCTTCCTAATGCCCAAGCCTGTTCCAGTGTTGGAGTCAACTGGAAAAGCATTCACGTGCTGCACAGTGTATTATTAACCCACCACAAGCTCTGTTCCAAGAGGCCAATAAGGCAGGAAAATTAATATGGGAATAATAACAATAACAACAATAATAAAAAAGACTTTATTGCATGAAACAGCAGAGGTAAACAGAAAACTTAGATTGCACTATAAAGACTACAAACCAAAATTAGAGAGTTGCTCGCATTTTGCTTTCTAACTATGGCACAGGCAAGTTGACTATATCTCATCATATAAATCCAGAGCCATGCGCTGAAATCTTACATCATTTACAATGGGATTTGCTTTATTTTATTTTTAATGTGGATAATCGCATTAGTGTTCCTAAAGCATTATGTAAAGGTCTGTAAAAGAGGGTGAGAAGGAAGATGCCTGGGAGATGCACATGTGTTCAAATGCAGATTAAAAAAAAAAATGCAAAGCAGAAATTAAAAGCACCCAAACAGTTCAGCCCTTGAGATAAACAAATGTATTCAATATAAGAAGAGAACCTGTTATTTGAAGACCAAAGGAAAAGACCACTAAGATTTTCAAAGCAATTTGGGACAGACTAATAGAAAACAGGATACAGAAATTGTCCACTAATGACTTTTTCCCCTGATATGTCAGAGCTTCTTTTCCTTTATTTATCCAACTTCCATTAAGTTATCAGCCATGTGCCATTGCTCATAGCTATCGTTCAGATAAGAACCTAGCCATCCTGCTGCCTCCCAGTGCTCCAAGAACATCTTTCTGATACAAGAGATAGAGCAACATACTTTTCCTGTAATGCTCATGAGAAATTGCAAGTTAGAATAAATAATTATTAATAATCCATTAGAGGGAAATGGATTATAAATGCAGTATTTATAAAAGTATTATATGTGTTGGGAAAAAAAGAAGCACCTCATATTTCAACTACAGAGGACTTCTAAAACGTCTGAGAGTCCAACTGCAGGAGCTACATCTTTAAACTTGCATCTGAAAAGGAACAGTAAATATTAAATAAAGAAAGCATGGTTTCCTGAGGTTTAAAAAGACAAGAACAAGCTTGACTGAACCAGCATGCAAACCGGGAAAGAAGTGTGCAAGGCACAGGCTACCTACATATATCTCAGTACGAGAAACACCACCTTAATGCCATGCAGTACAACCGTCTGCCTGCAGCGGAAGCGCAGGAGCAAACCAAGGCCCAACTGCATCAAAGAGCATCCATTATTTGTTGCTTTTGAAAAGAAGAGGCTTCCTCCCCACTGTGCTATTACAATTCCAAATAAGACATCTCATTTTCCAATTTCTACTACTTCTTGGTGGTCTCGGGGTATCAAGCTACATTGTCAGAAATACAACCATTTGCCATGAAGACTATGGCAATTTTTATTTTTCAGTCATCCTTTGTGTAAGTTCATGTACTGATATTAGGTAAAGCTCAAATTGAAGCATAAAACAGTACTTAACATTTAAACAAATTGTTTTATGAGTCCTCTAAAACAAGAGCATGCCAAGTTCTCTTTTACAAATGAGGAATGGCCATTTAGAAGCAAGGCTGAGTCCCACAGGCGCGCATGACATTTTACCAAAGGCAACAAAGCCTACCTGATCAAAAGCGTCAAGGGACACGTAGGCAGCGAAAGCAAAGAGAGAAGCAAGGAGCGTTCGGAACTCATGAGTTGAGTTCCTGACCCTACTCCATCCACAAAACGAGTTCCTATTTGAAAAAGATAAGGAATATATATGTTGATATTTTTCCTTCTCTGAGCCTTTGGGGATCACATATCACAATGAAATTAGGAGTTCCACAGGTGTTCAATCAGCAATGCCAGAAAAGCACAAAGCCAAGACAAAACAGGAGGTGCCAACAGTATGTCCTTAAACAGCAATTACCTGATGCAAGGCTTGTCTCTGTACGCAAATGTGACAAGCCATCTGTTTCGATTGTCCACGGCAAGATGGTAGTTAGGACCGACTACAAGTGGGAGAAACCTGAAACAGCCAGAAAACACTCTGGAATATCTCTAAAACCTGTTGTTGACCATGTCCTCACTTTGTGTCCAGATAGGAAAGTCATAGAGCATCTGGAGGAAATATTTCAAATATTTTAGCTTACTCTTTTCAGATAATTCTTCAGCTCAGTCTTAAACTAAAATTTTTGAGGGCATCACTGTATGGTCCCTGTGGTGCTGATCTAATCCCACACCCATGCTATCAAATTTTTAGGTTACTCTTCCTTCTTGATAAAATATTGCACAGACTGAATAGCCTACACTGCAACAAGGGAATAAAACAACGTAAAAGGGGTTACTAAAATCCCCTGAATTCCTTTCACAGCCACTAAAGTGGCTATGCACTCGGTAAATAAAAAAGGTCACTGATTTTATTCTCATACTGCGCTGCTTTAATGCCATAATTTCAACTACATATAAGCTATATTCACACACATTCACAAATCAAAAATTAGCAAGTATTAAAA